CCCCAAAACCCCAAAACCCCAAAACCCCAAAACCCCTGATCGCTCGAGGACAATTGAAATAGTTAATTTTTATTAGAAAGTATAGACGCAATTGCTTCATTCTGGGCTGCTAACATACTTGGCTTTGTATACTTCGTGATATTCTTTAGTGCAGTAACCCCTGCTTCAGAATCATTAATAACACTAGAACTTTTCCCATAAGATTTAATAGGCTGCAAGACTTTCTTCCTACTTGAGTTGGGAAATTTGGGTTTCTTAAAATCAGTCGATGTCTTTGAAACTATTTTGTTGAACTCACTCAATATTTTATCCTTTTCCTCATCGATCTTCAGTTCTCTCAATTGGTTTAATTCTTCTTTGTTTTTCCCTGTTGGAGGTAATTTTCTCTTCCTAGCAGAACCAGCTCTCATTAATTTTGACGTACTTTTGCCAGTAAGATCAGGCTTCTGGTTCTTCTTATTGAATCCAGCACTACTTCTAAAAGGAAGGCTCTTTTTGCTTCTAATCGATACAGATCTTTTCTGGGAGGGTTTTGAAGCAGATTTATTGAGCTTGTCTGTATTTTTAAGGGGAATTTCTTCAACAAGCTGCTCTTCATCTCCACTATCATTAGCTTCAGAGTAGCTTGTAATAAACCCTTTCTTCTTTTGTTCTTGGTTTATCTTCAGGATTTCCTCTTGCATTTCAAGGTAAGGATCTTTGAGATCTTGGTTTTGGGTGCTTTTTAGTCTATCAAAAGTACCGAATTCATCAAACCGAAGATGGTTCATTACGTTACGAAAGCTGCTACGGATTTCTGAATAATCCTTCTTTAATTTCTTACTATATTCCACACTCTCGGTAATAAGTATGTCATTAGTAGCTTCTTCAAGTTCTTTGAGATTGTTCTTGTCCCTCATCAGAGGCTGGAGGTTAGCAGAGATACTAAGTTGGGCTCTGATCATCTCAGCTTCATTTTTCATTTGGTTCTCTTCGACTTCTTCAAACTTCTTGGTCAGTTTATCTGGATCCATTTTCTCCCCATTTTTATCTTTAATATTAGAGAAAGCTTCATCTATGATTCCTTCTTGCTGCTGCTCTACTGTTTCTTTAGTGTCTTCGAGGTATTTCCTGATTTCTTGGTTCATAACTTTGAATTTATAGCCTGGCTCGAGGAGTTCAATTTGGTTGAAGACCTCAAGGTCAGGAACATCAGCGACTACTCTATCCTGGATGGCGGCAGTCTTGGCAATTGGGTTGAACCTTATATCGATCTCAGCTATAAAACGTTAGGATGAAGAGCATTGGGATATTTACCTAAATATTCAATCTTTTTGATGTCCTGTATGTGCTCATAGAGCCTGATGTCATTGCTTTTAAGGTTCACAATATTTAAACTGGGAAATTTCGAATGGATGAATTTTATATTCTTTATATCTCAGTTCTCCGCCTTAAGTTTCGAGAGATACTCAAGGTCTGGCAATAAGAGAAGATCCTTGATATTTTTATTTCTAGAAACATCTAGAGTGTCTAGGTCCTTTAAATAGCACAGCCCTTCAAAGCTCCTTATAGGGTTATCAGCAAGATCAAGCTCGGTAATGCCTTTGCATTGCTTAAAGTCGTCCTCTCTGATCGTTGTGATCTTGTTCATTGAGAAGTTTGCATATCTTAGCTCTACCATTCCCTCAAGTCCTCTCAAGGAGTCGATTTGGTTATTTCTGAGACTCAAATACTCAAGTACTCTTAAGTGCCGAAGACTTTGAATCTGGGTGATTTTATTGTGATCTAAGTTTAACGTGGTCAAGCTAACGAAGCTGTCGATTCCTTTCATTGAGACGATCTTTTCATGTCGAAGAGATAACTCTTCAACTGATCCAAAGTCATGGGTATTTCATTTCTTCATCAAATATTTATTTCGTTAATTTCCTACTTGTTATTTTCTCCTCCTCCTCTTTATCAGAAGTTTCATCTGTCTTTTTAGGCTTAGGAGGTTTTTGAGGGTTCTTCATTGAGGTGACTTCCGGCTTTTCCACATTTTCAGGTAGAGAATTCAGAAATGCTTGCACATCTTTTTGTACTTTCTCTTTCTTGGCCATTCTTTCTTTGATCTCTTCCGCCTTCTTTTCTTCATCGGAGAGTGTTGGGTCTTTCTTAGGTGCTGCTCCAGAGTCGAAGAAGTTAGAAATCTCACTTTTCATGTCTAAATCTAGATCTTTGTTGAGGGAGGAGTCTGGGATCTCATTTTTAGTAAGCTCCATGATATTCTGGAGCTGATCCTGTATAGACTTGTTCATTTTGGATTTAAAGTCTTTGAAATATTATTAATTGTCAATTATGAAATACTTTTGAGGGGTTTTGGGGTTTTGGGGTTTTGGGGTTTTGGGG